GAGAGAGAGAGAGATGAAGAGATGAGGCAACAACCTGGTAAATCATCATTTACGGGTGTCCTAGCTCCTTCGTTTTAGAAGATGTTTTAGAGATGTTAAAAAGAGGGAGAGATTCGAAATAGAACTCAGAGCAAGGACAGATTACGATTTTAACAAAGAAATTAAAGTTTTTGAAAACACAAGACAAAAATTGAAAATTTTGAAAAGAGAAAGATATTTTGAAAAACAAATTTATGTTGGCAGTTTTAACTCCTGCAACCATAGAGCCCTCTAAGCAGTTTAACGTCATGTAAGGATGGACGGTGTAGTCAATAGTTAGACTCATACGAACGTAGAGTTTTTATTATTTTTTATTATTATTACTATTTTTTTTTTTGCTACCCCTGTTGGGGGGTGGTTTTCTTTTAATGTAGGTCTTACAGTTTAACCACTTACGACCCCTTTGGTGGACCCTATGTGAGCGTATCGGGAAGAGGAATCATAAAGTATTTTTTTATCTTCCAATCTCAGCTCTTGCATTTTAATTCAAATGAGAGTGCTTTAGAGCTTTCAAGCAAAACATAGTTTTGAAAATATAGGATACTGCCCTTGGGTGTTCAGAATCTCTTTGGATTTTCGATTTTGTTCCTCCACTATTCACTTTTCGAAGCTCCAGATGATCGAGGACCTTAACAATGTTTCATCAGGCTAATGCTCATTGGTTTTTCTCTTGATACCATTTTGACTCAGGAAAAAGGAAGAGAAGATGTTTAGAGATAAAGACTTTGGAAAATAGAAGGAAGGAGATAACTTCTTCTTTTTCATAGCCCCGGGATCCCTTTCGGGTGTTCAGCCCAGTAGCATTTTTTCCAATGCTTGGGGTTCCTTTCAAATTTTCTGCGCAGCAGATTTTTTTTTTTTTTTTATCGCTTTGGGGTCCCTTTCAGGTGTTCAGCCCGATAACCTTTTTTCCAACGCTTAGGGTTCCTTTCGGATTTTCAGCCCATTAGATTTTTTTTATATTATTTTATTTTGAAGAAGAAAAGAATGACAAATGAAGAGGGGGAGGAGGAAGAAGAGTCACAGGTGCCCCCTCTTTTTTTTTAGCAATTTGCCTTAAGATCACATAAGAATTTGATCATCTTTCCCCCTTTCAAGTGGTAGGGAGGTTCTAATATCGGTCTTCCTCTAACATAACCCAAGTTGGCATTTAAAATCTCTTTGACAATGGTTGTTGAATCTCCGTTAAACTTTTC